GGACATGCATTTTTATGCTATTCACCCTACTGTGATTCTGGGAACTCAACAATGATTCAACCTGAGAAAGCCTATATAAATCAGTCATTAAAGCTGGCTGTGGTGGCACATGCTTGTAATCCCAGCACTTGGGAGGCTGAGGCAGGAGGATCCTCAAGAGTTCAAGGCCAACCTGGACTTCATAGTGAGACCCTGTCTCAAAACAAAATAAAACAAAACAAAACAAAAAATCATATCATTAACAAACTAAAGGAAAATATGATTTTATGCATTAATGCTTTACAAAGACATTTGTTCTATTCTTACTTTAATAAAAAGTTAAATCAGAATAGAATTAATTCCAGGGTAAATCACAAATAAGGTGGAGATATCTATATTCATTTTGGAAATTCTCTAGGTCAAGATTTCTTAACCTTTTGGGTGGTTTGGATCCTTTTAGCTGTTTGATGACAGCTATTGAGCCTTCATAAAATGTTATTTAGAGCTGGGCATGGTGGCACATGTCTGTAATCCCAGTACATTGGAAGCTGAGGCAAGAGACTCAGGAGTTTGAGGCCAGCCTGGGCCATGTAGCAAGTTCAGGGCTGGCTTGGGCCACATAGTGAGGCTGTGTCTCTAAAAACAAAACAAAATTAATGTGTAAGATAGCAATACATAGTATTGCATAGGAAATAAATTATATTAAAGTATAATTGTCTAAATATTAAAGTTGGCCCGAGCATGATGATACATGCTTATAATCCCAGCACTTAGGAGTCTGAGACAGGAGGATCCTTTCAAATTTGGGGTCAGCTTGGGCTACATAGTGAGTTCAAGGCCAGCCTATACTACCAAGCCAGTTCCTATCTCAAAAAAAAGTCATACATTGTTATACAGTAATAAATAAAAAGATGTAGCGACAAATTAATAACTGCTACATATGCATATATATATATATATATATATATATATATGTACAGGGAATGATTGAAATACATGGTAAATAGTTCCTTTTTTTGGTGTTTTGAGACAGGGTCACACTATGTAGGTCAGGGTGGCCTCACAATCACAGTGATCCTCCTGCCTCCTCCTCTTGAGTGCTGGGATTACAAGTGTGTGCTACCACACCCAGCTATTTAAATTTGTAAAAATTTACACACATTGCCATTAATTTTCAAAGTATACCCTGCTTTGAACATACTTATTCCATCTTTCTTGCAGTTCTGAAAGTCCTCTTTCATAAATATCTTTGTGAAATGTGCTAAAAAAAAATGCAGGGAATGCTGCTGGCCAGTGCCACCCATCAGAAAGGCAAGCTTATAGCCTTTCTGAGTCTGGCACAGCAAGCCTTCTGGCTCTTCCTCAAAGTCAAAATAACTGTGAAAGGTAAACATTTTGAATCAGTTCAGGACATCAAAGGAACTGGGACAGCACAACTAATGCCACTCATGAAAAAAGACTTCTAGAACTGCTTCACAAAGTGTCAAGAATAATGGGAAAGTGTGTTCAAAGTGAGTAGGGTATTTTTGTTGTTTGTTTGTTTGTTTGTTTGTTTCAGACAGGGTCTCACTCTGTAGTTTAGGCTGTTTTTGAATTTGCTCTGTAGCCCAGGCTGGCCTCAAACTTGCAGGGATCCTTCTGCCTTAGCCTCCCAAGTGCTAGGATTACAGGTGTGTGCCACCACACTCAACCCAAAGTGAGTAGTAGTATTTTGAGAGGGTTTAATGGCAATGTATCTTTTACTGTAATGATTAAATAAAAGGGGAGGGACCAGGGATTTAGCTCAGTGGCACTGAGCCTGTCTCGCATGCACAAGGCCCTAAGTTTGATCCTTGGTACCAAAAAAAAAAAAAAAAAAAGTAAACATTCATTGTAATATTTTTTTTGGTACCGGGGATGGAACTCAGGTCCTTGCGCTTGCGCAGCAGGCAGTGAAACCACTGAGCTAAATCCCTGGCCCTTCATTGTAATTTTTGATCACACCTCGTATATACAAAAATATATACATATGGATGAAATTAAAGAAGAAATTAGACAGTTTCTATAATTAAATGATAATGCCAGTACAATATACTGGAACTTAAAGGATATAACGAAAGCAGTCCTATGAGGGTGATTTGTAGTGGTGCATTCCCATATCAAAAAAAGAGTGAGCTCAAATAACCTAATGTTGAACCTCAAGCTTCTAGAAAAAGAACAGCAAATCAAGCCCAAAGTTTATACAAGGGAGGAAATTATAAAGATCAGAGCAGAAATTAATGCAATAGAGACTAAGAAAACAATGCAAAGAATCAATGAATTGAAGAGTTGGTTCTTTGATAAAATGGACAACCCATTAGTCAACTTTATCAAAAAAAGGGAAGTCTTGTCCATGCAGTTAGGAATGAAAACAGTGAAATCACAGCAGACACTGCAGAAATCCAGGAGATTATCAATACCTACGGTAAGATGGAAGACACAGAAGTGGACTAGATACTTACGAATTACAAAAGCTGAATCAGGAAGATATAAAAATTCAAAATAAACCAACATCAGTCAGTGAAATTGAAGATATAATTAAAAACCTACCAACAAAGAAAAACCCAGGCCCTGACAGATTCACTGCAGAATTCTACAAGAAATTTAGAGAAGACCTAAAGCTGCTACTTCTCAAACTCTTTAATGAAATTGAAAAGGAAGCAGTATTCCCAAATTCATTCCTGGAAGCAATCATTACCCTGATACCAAAGCTGCAGAAGGATCCAACTAAAAAACAGAACTACAGGTCAATCTCTTTAATGAACATAGATGCAAAAATCCTCAATAAGATACTGGCAAACAGTGCAGCAATCATCAAAAAGATTATTCATCATGACCAAGTAGGATTCATCCCAGGGAAGGAGGGATGGTTCAGCATACCACACTAACAGAACCAAGGACAAAAAACCACATGATCAGCTCAATGTATGTAGAAAAAGCATTTGATAAAGTCCAACATCCATTCATGATAAATGAAATACATAATGAAATAAGTGAAAGACATATTATACTCCTATGTGAGGAAGCACAGTGTCAAAAGGTACTGTTCTTGTGTTTTGTTTTTTTTTTGGTACTGGGGATTGAACTCAGGACCTTGCGCTTGTGAGGCAGGTGGCAGAACCACTGAGCTAAATCCCCAGCCCAAATAGTACTGTTCTTAAAAAAAAAAATGAAGGTAATTGAAGTAACTTCATGAATTTTTATTAGCTTTTATTAGCTTTAGACAGATTAAAGTTTAAAATGAAGATGGAGTATATAACAAGGCTTTAAAAAATTTTTAATTGAGATAATGGTAGATTTGCAGTTCTAAGAAGTAATAGATATCTCCTGTACCTTGTTTTTTCCCCCAGTATTGGAGATTGGCTCCATGGCCTTCTCTACATCCCTACAAAACCTACTCTGCCTCACTTCCTCCCTTCTTTCCTTTTTCTTTTCTTTCTTGAATTGAACCCAGGTCTTTATACTGAGCCATGTCCCACCCCCTTTTAAATTAAAAAAAATTTTGAGACAGGATCTTACTGAGTCTCTGTGTTGTCCAGGCTGGGCTGGAACTTAACAATGCTTCTGTCACCGTCTCCCAGAGTACTGGTATTACAGACATGTGCTTACCATACCTTGCTTCTCTTGGCCTTTAACTGGTTTCCCCCAGTGGCAGCATCTTGGAAAACAGTATTGTGACTAGGATGATATTGCTATTGATAATGGTCAAGATTGTACTCCCAAAAGTGATGCATAGATTCCAAGCAATCCCAATCAAAATACCAACAGCATTCCTCACAGAACTAGAGAAATTCACTAATGGAATCACTGCTGTCTATTGGCTCAATGGAATCTTTCTCTTTTTATGCAGCTTTAACAAGGAACCTATCCAACGACATTTATTTTTGCCTTCTAAGGATTTCATGGAAATGTGATGTTGCATTGTCATTAAACAGATTAATTGCTCATTCCTCACATTTTACACATCTGCCTAATCTCATTTGGAGTGGGGGATTCCTCTGCCTTTTTTTCTTCTTCCTCTGCAGACAAGATCTCCAGAACCTCTTGCTGTTGGGAGATGATCACTCACAATCACACAGAGCGAGGATGGGGGGCCACTGGTCCAGTTGTGAGCATGTGGCATTCTGTGTCACAAGACATCGCTCCTTTATTAAGTTTAAATTTAGAAGAAATGTTTGTCTTGTGGAATATTTGCAGAACAAATTACTCACAATCCAAGATTTTTACCATGTATAATGGACCCTTATGAACTCAATTTGTTTGCGAGGGCAGGTTGTAACTAAGTTGGTTGTAAGTCAAGACTTTTTCCCCGTAAGAAATAATGGAAATACCTATAATCGTTTTGAACTTCCCAAAGCACCCCTTAACTAACCTTTTCATAATAAAAAAGGATTGTATAATGTGCATAATTTACCAGAAACACTAATAATTTTCCCAGTGTATTCACCAAAAAGTTATAAGATGTGCCACCTGTAGCCCAGCCCAGATTAAGATAATTTTTAGTGATCTGTCTTCCTTTGATTGATTTTGTCCTTTGTATCCTGTCTTATGTTGTTGATGTCACTATGAAATTTTTATTTCAGTTATTACTTTTTCAGTTCTAAAATTTCCATTTGATTCTTTTTTTTATATTTCCTATTTTTTTGCTGAGGTTATTTTTTCATTTGCCTCAAACATGTTTTTAGTTGCTTGTTGTATGTTTACCGTGGCTGCTTTAAAAACCTTTATTATCTGGGAATTTAGTTCAGTGGTTCCACTGCCTGACTTGCAAGTGCAAGGTCCTGAGTTCGATCCCCAGTACCAAAAAAATAAATAAATAAAAAGGAATGGCAGGTGTCAAAAACCTTTTTGTTAGCTAAGTCCCATCAGTTTTGGTATATGTTGATTGACATTTTTCATTTAGTTTGGGATTTTAATTCTTGGTATGTGATTTTTTTTTATGAAAACCTGGAGAATTTTGTATTATGTGACTTGAAACTTACTTAAACCTTCTATTTTTTTAGCTGCCATTCACTGATAACTGGCAGGGGGAAGAGGAACATCTCTCCTGACCAGAAGTAAGGATCTAAACCTTGCTGTGTCCATGGGAAGCTATAACTCCCATCCTCACTCAACAGTAAGAAGAGCCCTTACTTCACATTGGTGCCACCCACACTGAGGGAGGGCTTTTTTATCCACACCCTTAATTCCAGTATCACATCCGTAATCCACATTTACACACCTTAAATCCAGCCACCTCTGAAATGCCCTACCTATGACTTCATGAGGCTTTGGGGGGACATCTGGATACAAGCTGTAACGTATCATATACAAAAATGGATTTCCTAGATCTGAAAAATAATTATATTAAGAAAATATAGAAATAAACAGGAGATAGAGGAGCTCTCCTAAGCAAGACAAAAATCCAGGAACTGTGTGGGAAAACACTGATGAATTTAGTAACATAAAAATGAAAAGTATATCTAGTTAAAGGCAATTATGGATCATGAGAAAATATTGGTAGTACCTGAAGGACAAAGGACCTTGTGTCCTTTACATACTGATAGGTCCTACAAACTCATTGTATTAATCAAGCTTTATGTTGCTACAGTGAAATACTGGAACTAATTATAAAGAGAAAAGGTTTATTTAGTTTATAGATTTAGTTCACAGGCAGTTCAAAGGAATGGCTTCTGGGTCTGCTTAATTCCAGTGAGGACTGTAAATCTTAGCATGTGATGGCAGAAGCACATGTGGTAGCTGGGGGTTGGGTAGGGGAGAGAAAATAGGTGGGGTTTCATAATCGTTTGGAGGGGATACCCAGTGGCATAGGGACCTCCCATGAGTCCCCACCTCCCAGAGGTTCTATACCACTTCTCAGTAGTGCCACCCTGGGGACCAGGTCTTCCACACTCAAGGGGGGATACTCATATTACAGTTAAATGATATCCAAAAATAGCACACATTACTTAGCATAAAAATACTGTACTAAAGATACAAAGAGCAGTTATAATTTCAGATGACTTCTAAAGCTAAAAAACATAATACAAGTGAAAACAAATAATATACCATTTTTAACTTGTGAGATTTGGTAAAAAGAAGAATACTAAAAGGTTAAGTATCCTTTATCCAAAATGCCTAGGACCAGAAATATTTCAGATTTTTTGAATATTTACATATACATGATGAGATATGTTAGGGATGGGATTTTATGATTCATATATACTTTATACACATAATTAGAAGGTAATTTTGTGCAGTAATTTTAGTGGGCCTGCATTTTGAGTGCAGTCCATCACATTGAAGTCAGGTGTAGAATTTTCTACTTATGTGATGTCATGTTGGCACTCAAAAAGTTTCAGATTTTGGAGTGTTTATGATTTTAGATTGAGATTAGGAATGCTTGATCTGTATCCAGTGGTATTGAGGGAAATAGGTTCTTTCATAATCTGTTAGTGGAAGCATGTAGTGTAGTACTCATTTTGGAGTGTAATTTAGTATATCCATCAAAATTTTTTGGTTTTTTTTGGTACCGGGGATCGAACTCAGGGACCTTTTGCTTGCGAGGTAGGCGGCGGAACCACTGAGCTAAATCCCTGGCCCTCAAAATTTTAAAATTTTAAATGCTTACATTTTTTTTTTTTTTGTACCGGAGGATCGAACTCGGGACCTTGTGCTTGCAAGGTAGGTGGCGGAACCACTGAGCTAAATCCCCGGCCCTTATATTCTTAGATATAATGAATTTTACTTTTAGAAATTTATCCTAAATAACAAAAGTTTTAAAATCTGTACATGTAAAGGGGTGTGCATGTGTGTGAGTGGGTGAGTTTGTTCTTTCTGGTATTGGGGAGTAAACCCAGGGCTTTCATCCTAAGCTACATCCCTAGCTCTTTTATTTTTTTTATTTTGAGAGTGTCTCGCTAAGTTCTTCAGGCTGGGCTCAAACTTGCTGTCTCCTTGTCAGCCTTTCACCATGCTGGGATTACAGGTATGCATCACCATACCTTCTTATGTAAAGGTTCTTTAAGTACTGTTTACAATAGTAAAAAATAAAACAACCCTAGTGTCAGTTGGGGACTGGTTGAATAAAATATAGTACATTTCAGAGTCTGCTATGTCAGAACAAGGAGACACAACTGAAGTAGGTTGGAGCTGCTGCCGCCATAGCCATGGCCCATAGTGACTAGTGTGAGCCCACCTGCCCCAGCATGAAAAATCCCAGGCCCTAGGTTATTTTTACTTTGGGGTTTTTCTGTTTAATTTTTCAATTAGAATAAGTTAGAAATATTTGTTGCATGAATGAAATGCATAAATCAATTTGTATATGTGTTTTAAATTCAAATTTTATCACTGTTGTAAGCTCTTAAAAGCGAATGCTAGAGAGTATGGTACTCCATCTTGCCAACTCTGTGTAAAGTGGGGAAACTAAAGAATGGGGAAATCTTTTGCCAATATAAGACTTCAAGAAGAGAAATCAGGATATGAATGTTGAGGTCTTCTAGTAAACTGGTAACTTTTATCCATAGCTTGAGTCTTTAATTTAGCCACCTTGATGATACTGATTATAAGCAAGGACTTTCATTTTTAAGATGTGTATTTTTTTTTCCCTTGACAGAAATGACATCAGATGTACCATCACTGGGTCCAGCCATTGCCTCTGGAAACCCAGGGCCTGGGATTCAAGGTGGGGGAGCCATTGTCCAGAGGGCTATTAAGCGTCGAGCAGGGTGAGTTTGAGTATAGTCACAAATGTCTCTCCTGTAAACCAACCTGATTTAGTTAGTTGCTGACTTACTTGGCTGTTCCTGATCCTCTCACTTCAACTGGTTGTTATGCTGCTGCCATGTAACTGCCAGAGCCCCTGGACTTTCCTTATATGAAATTGATGTCAGGGCTGGGGATTTAGCTCAGTGGTTCTGGCGCCTGCCTTGAAAGCACATGGTCCCGAGTTCGATCCTGGTACCCCCCTAAAAAAAAGAAAGAAATTAATGTCTTTATCTAAGTGTCTGTTAAGTGGTTGTGTGTGTGTGCATGCATGTGTTTGTGTGTTTAAACCAAAAATATCTGCAAGGACTATGGCTAAGCCCAGAGATTTCACTAGCTACTCTATTGCTAAGAAAACTTGGCTGCTTTCATTAAGCTTTGCATCTACATTCTCAAAACTTTGATAAGCTTCTTTTTTGAATTTAGAGGATGTTAAACTCTAGAATATTTCTTTTTAAAGTTACTGTTATTTTGTTTGATGTGAAATGCAGAGTCAGTCCATTCACTTCCAAATGTGTTTTAATAAATACCTAATTAGTGTATGGCATTGTGCTGATTGTTAGTAGGATCCAAAGATAAATAAGACATATTCTGTGTCTCCAAGTTAATTACGTTTTGACAGGGGTAATCATTACACACATAAATATGACCCATGATGGAATGGGCAAATTTTTATAAGGAAAAAATACAGTGTTCTTCAGTATATGTGAAAAGCTTCAGAAAGGAGGGTGCTTTGGAAAGACCTGGAAGAATGGCTAGTATGTTGTATATCTTTTGGTATTAAACTTTTGTTTTTCTTTATTTTTCACAAAAATAATATAATCTTAACTAATCTTTTAAGTTTTGTCCCGTCAGCAATAATGCAAGAGTTGTCTTTGAGTCAAGAGGTGGCATGAGTAGCAACAAGACTTGCTATGTATACAAGAGCTTTGCGCATTTTACTAAATCTTTTTTTCTTGGTACCAGGGATCAAACTTGGGACCTTACGCTTGCAAGGCAGGCAGTGGAACCACTGAGCTTAATCCCCGGCCCCTACGCATTTTAATCCTTTACTAAGGCATAGGATGAATAAGTAACTTCTAAGGTTCTAAGGTTAGTAATGGCAGAATATATGAACCAGTGGCGCCACACCTGCCTTGCAAGCACAAGGTCCTGAGTTCAATCCCCATACCAAAAACAAAAACCCAGAATATATGAATCATAGGAGATTAGTATTAGAATCCACTCTCTTAAGCAGTGTGCTATGGTTATATATAATAGCAAAGAATTAAAAGCAATATAAATATCAAAATTAGGGGATCATTTGAGAAAGTTATATATTTAGCTAGGTAAAGTTGTACATGCCTGTAACCCCAGCTACTGTACTTGGAAGGTTGAGGCGGGAGGATAACAAGTTTGAGGCTAGTTTGGGAAATTTGGTGACACCCTTTTTTTTTTCTGGTACCAGGGATTGAGCTCAGGACTTTGCACTTGTGAGGCAGGCGCAGTGGCACTGAGCTAAATCCCTGGCCCTGTCTTTTTTTTAAATTGCGCTATGAGTTTTGTATTTGTCATTTCCTTTTTTGTTGTTTTTAAAATTTTTATTTTTATTACTACAGTAAGTCCCTGTACATTATTACTATATTAAGTCCCTGTTCAGTAAGTTCCTGTACTGAAGGAATGAGTTCTGTTCCAGAATTGTTCATCAGTCTCATTTGTTTATAAGCTGAGAGTGAGTTTGATACAGTATACCTGTGAAAGTTCACAACCAGAATATTCTCAAGTTGGGGACTTACTGTACATGTTTGAAATACATAATGATTATATTCATTGTGAGATACTGTCTTAAAATATGTAATGTATACACAGAGAACACCTAAGAGAACACTCTTCAGATTTCTGGGTAATAGGTTTATGAGTGATTTATTATTCTTTTAATTACTTTCCATGTTTCCTGAAATGAGTATGTATGATTGATAGTCAGAAAAACACATTTCAAAAAAGTTTTAAATATTTCTTTTAAAGAAAGATTGGAAAATATAGAAAACAAGAACAAAAAGTGGCCAAAGTCAAATACCATCAGATTTTTAGTGTATTTCATTCAGTCTTTATACATAAATCTTTTAAAATAATTATAGTCATATAATTATATGGTTTTATATAGTTTTATGTAATAGCTTTTAAAATATTTTTGTCTGATATAAACATAATTTTTAATGCTTGCATAAAAGGATGTACTTCTTTTTTTTTTAAGACAAGGTCTCACTATGCAGTTCAGGCTGGCCTCGAACTTGCGATGATCCTCCTGCTTCAGCCTCCTGAGTACTGGGATTACAGGCATGCCTCACCACACCCAGCCTTTATTCTTATTTTGGGACATTTAAATTATTTTTTAAATTTTACTATTATTTGTAATGCTACAATGAACTTTTTGTAAAACATTCCCACCCATTTTAAGTTTTTTCTTCATGATAGATTTTTAGAAATGCAGATATTGGGGAAATGAGTAGGACTTTGACGGGTGATCAGGGGCTGGGAAGGAGCGAGAGGAACAAACATTTTTTGAGATGGTGCTATGTACTTCATATGCAGCTCATCTGGAGACCCATAATACCAGTTTATTTCATTGGTGGAGAAGTCAAGAGTGCTCACTGCGGAGCTGGGGATTTAGCTCAGTGGTTCCGCTGCCTGCCTCACAAGTGCAAGGTCCTGAGTTTGATCCCCGGTACCAAAAAAGAGTGCTCACTGGGTTAAGACAGTAACATGAGCAACATTTCAGTTTAATAGAATACAGAAATTAATAGGAGATTGGCCTACTTTTTTACCTATAATCTCCCCTAATCCCCTCAGGTGAAAGTCACCTCTCCTTTCACTGAATGTTTATAACATGGCAGTTGTGTGCCTCACATGGCATTTTCCCATTCTCACTTGTTTTATATTTGTATTTGTCTAGGCAAAAGAGCCCCTTGGGGCTAAGGTTTTGTTTTTATTCAGGGTCCTGAATGTAGTATATATTAACTGTTCAGACTAACAACTTATGTTTTACATAATTAATTCCTTTATGTAATAATATCACTGTTTTGATAAGTGTTTCAGAAAGCTGGTAGCATGGTTTAGAGGAGACCATAGTAATAAAAAAACAGACTTTGGGGCTGGGGATTTAGCTCAGTGCTTCCGTCACCTGCCTTGCAAGCTCAAGGACCCGAGTTCGATCCCCAGTACCAAAAAAACCAAACAGACTTGGGGGCTTGAAGTTTAGCTCAGTGATAGACCAGTTGCCTTGCACATACAAGGACCTGTGTTTGATGCTCAGCACCAGTACCAATTTTTTTTTAAATTCCTGAATTAAAATTATTTGTATTAATTTTTTTCTTGCCTGCGTTGAGTAGATGATGCTTCTTTCTGTAGGGGTTGTACACTGATGCAAACGTTTGCAAAGGTGGGCTGCCACCCAGGGAAGGGCAGAGTTACCAGTAGGGCTCTTTCTGTTTCCCAGCTTTTTTGCCCAGTCTGGCACGATGGGGAAGATATATTGTTATTTGACTTCTACCCACCTTCTGTTTTTCTTTTTTCTAGTTAGGTGGTTTTTATAGTACGTGTGTTGAGAAATTTTAATATTCTTTAATGTTCTGTATTATCAGTAGGCTTAACAATATTTTTTTGTTGGCTTTCCTCAGGCTGGATTTTGATGATGATGGAGAAGGGAATGGTAAATTTTTGAGGTAAGTGTTTGAAAAACTTTCTTTAAACTTGTTATGTGAAATTGATGATCTGTATACTTGTAACTTGTAATTTTTTGTTCTTGGGCCTAAGGAGAGTACTTTTTTTTCTTTTTGGTACCAGGGATAGAACTCAGGACCTTTCATTTGCGAGGCAGGTTCGGCACCACTGAGCTAAATCCCTGACAGGAGAGTACTTTTAAAACCATACATTTTCATGTTGTAGCCCATAAAATTTTCAGGCATTCTGTTAATAATTTCAGAGGTAGGACCTCAGGGAAGAGAGGACAAAGAATTTATAAGACCTTCTGTATCAGTTATCTGTTAATGTATGGCTTGAAAAGAACAATGGTTTATTATTTTTCACAATTCTGATTGACTGATTATTCTGCTGATCCTGCTGACTCACTCATAAGACTGCATTCAGCCTGCTGATCTGCTGAATTAGACTCTGCTGGGATGGCTGGTATCTGGCCTTTTTTCCTGAAGGAAGTGAGACTAAGTTTCTTCAGATGGTATTAACTATGATACAAAAGGCGAGTTCCAGTGTGCTTAACCTCTGTTTCTGTGACATTTGCTAATGTCCCATTGGTCAAAGCAAGCTTTATGTTTATGTCCTGAGTCAGTATTGGAGAGGACTATACAAGGAAGTAGCTACTTGGAGGTATTACTTGTTAATGTCCTACTTTATCATACTCTCTAATACCTATTGACTTTTCCTATAGGTAGCAGGAATTGGAATTTGTATTCATGAGTAATAAATCTTTTGGCGCTTAGAAAATAGACCTTTCAGTATATTGTTGAAGGGATTCTTCTAAAAATAGGAAATATTCTTGCAGGATTAGCAATTGGTTGACTCGTTTCCATGTTTTGTTTTATTTTTTTAAAAAGAATAATACTGAAAGAAAGATAATCTTGACTGTAACCTTCCACTTTTCTTTCTCAAGTTGAAAACATTATCCAGGTAATCTCTCTATATATTGCTAAGTAGCAGATACTTGGTAAGTAAGTAAAGAAGGCCTATTTAAAAAAAATAAAATTAGTTGCTTATATGGCTCTACAGATTTCATTTGACTTATTCAAGAAGTATTTTTAATGGGAAAAGTAATGTAAAATATTTTATTTCAAACAAATATTGACATACAATAATAGTATATCTTCTTGTTTTACTTCAGGTCTTCAGAGCCCTCCCTAAACTTGTTACAATTTTCACTTTATTGAATATCCTTCCAGAAGTTCTCAGTGCATGTACAAGGTGTAAATGTGTATATGTACACATACACTCATACCTCACTTTTTACACAAAGGATGTCCATATTTTAAATTACTTGCCATTGTTTAGTCAGCAACGTCTTTATATGTTTTTGTAATAACATTTATACTCAAGGCTCATATTTCTACCTACTAAACTAGATAATGGACTTTGCCACATACTTTTGAAAACAACAGCTGTAATTTGGCTGCTATAAAAAAATGGTTGCAAATGAAAGTAATTCTCTGAGATCTCTTTATAGACTTAATGAGCCTCAAAAAATGTGAAAGGGGGTGAGATTTCACTTTCTGGCAGATGTTGGAGTTATTAAAGCAGCTCTATTGGGGAATTCATCTACTTCAGAATTGGTATATAATAATAGGTGCTATTAGTAGAACTGTGTTGTGTATATGAATGCTGTGGAGGTAACCTCCAGCCTTTATTGATACCTATCAATTAGATCTAACCATTGATTCCACAAAATCTAGTGGTCACAAACTAGTCATGTGCTACAGAGCATTTTGGTCATCAGCAGAGTACTATATGACCGTGGTCCCAAAAGATTATAATGGAGCTGCAGAATTTCTATTATCACGATGGTGTGGCTGTTACAACATTTTAGCTCTAAACATCACTCATATTATTGTGCCTGTCATTTAAAAGTGTACCACAAACACTTACATATAGTTCATAAGAGTTGATAACAAATGACTTTGTTACCTGTTTATGTATTTAATATACTTTTTACTAGTTATTATTTTGCAGTGCTGGGGATTGGACCCAGATCCTCTTGTGTACTTGGCAAGCACTCTTCCATTGAGCTATATCCCTAGCCCCTATTATTGTAGTTAGATTGTGACCCTTCTAAAAATCAAAAAACAAAACAAAACTTTACCATTTAAATTGCAAATTTTGTGAGAGAGACTTAATGTAACTCCCAAAACCACTTTATGCTCAAAATTGATAGAATCTTTGCTGTGTCCTGTGACAATGAGAAGACAATTCAGATCATCTGTGGAATAGTGTTTTGGGAGTTAGGTCTTCCCCGCTCAATATGTCCTCCATTATAGTTTCTGTAGTAGCAAACAGAGTTTATTGGCCAATTAAGTAGAATTTAAAGCTATACTTTAAGCCGGGTGTGGTGGCGCACACCTGTGATCCCAGCACCCTGGAGGCTGAGCCAGGAGGATTGCTCAGAGTTTGAGGCCAGCATGGGCTACATAGCGAGTTCAAGACTGGCCTGAACTACAAACCAAGACCCTGTCTAAAAAACTTCTGCACAAAGCCTGGCGTGGTAGTACATGCCTAGTAGTCTCAGTAGTCTGGGAGGCAGAGGCAGTAGGATCACAAGTTCTAGCCCAGCCTGGCCAATTTAGCAAGATCCTATCTCAAAATAAAAAATTTTAAAAGGGCTGGTGGTATAGCTCAGTGCAAAGGCTCTGGATTCAACCCCGAGTAATGGAGGGGGTCAATCTATGGAATTGGGAGAAAGTATGAACAAATCATGTATCTTAGAAGGGGTTAATATCAGAATATCTAAAGAACTCCTATAATTCAGAAACAACAAAACGTGGGTAAAGAATGGGCAAGGTACTTGAATAGATGTTTCTCCAAGGAAGAGACACAAAGGGCCAACAAAGCATAAGAAGGATGCTCACATCACAAACACAAAACTACACTGAGAGATCATTTTATACCTACTAGGAGGGCCACTATCCAAAAAACAGAAAAGAATAAGTATTGGCACAGATGCAGAGGGATTGGAACTCTTGTGCAGAAATGGTGGTGATGTAAAGTGGTGTACCCACAGTGGGAAAAAATTCACTGGTGCCTCAGAATTAGACAGAATTACCATTGCTCTCTCAGTTCTACTTCCAGTAAATAGCCAAACAAATTGAAATCAAGATTTTATTTATATATTTAATCTTGAGATGGGGTCTTGCTGGCCTTACATTCCTTACATTCCTGGGCTTAAGGGATCCTTCTGCCTCAGTCTCTCAAGTAGCTGGAAGTATAAGCATGTACCACCATGCCCAGTTTAAAACAGGATCTTGAGGAGTTGTTTGCATATCCGTGTTCATTGCCTTATTTTTTACAGTAGCCAAGAAGGGGAAGCAACCCAGATAGCCATCTACAGATGAAGGGTTAAAGAAGTGTGGTGTATACATACAGTGGGACATTCAGCTTTTGAAAAAAGGAAATCCTGTTATAATATGAATGAACCTTGATGAAAATTATAGTAATTGAAATAAGCCAATCACAGCCAGACAAATCATGTATGATTCTACTTACATGAGTAAGTAGATGGAGAAAGAGTGGTGATTACCAGGGCCTGAGGCAGGAGAAGATGAGAAGATGCTGTCCAATAAGTACAGTTTCTGTTTTACAAGATGAAAAGGTTCTAGATATCTTTTGTACAATGGCGTGAATATGATTAACACTACTAAAGTGTACACTTAAAAATAGTTAATGTTTTATGTGACATGTTAGCAATGTTAAAAAATCCTATCCCTAACTTTTTTGTAGTTTTTTATTTTTGTTTTTGTTTTTGAGACAGGGTCTTGCTATGTAGTTCAGGCCGGTCTTGAACTCACTATGTAGCACAGGTTGGCCTCGAATTCATGGTGATCCTCTTCCTCAGCTTCCCAAATGCTGGGATTACAGGTGTGCACCACTCCTCCCGGCTGCTGTCCCAAATTTTAGAGTGGTTGCTGAGAGGGCAGCCTACTTTGTCTCCACGTGATCATTGTCTTTTTTTGGTGTATCTGATAAGTAGGGTGATGAAGATATCAGAGACCTGATAAATAATAGTCATGGGTTTTAAAGGTCTGTGGGCTGCTGTTATATCTTCATTTGCGTTTTGATGCATTGGCTTTTTTTTCTGTTGAATATTTTTATTCCTTTCTAGTTTTATTTCAGAGTGAAGTAGATATAACAGATACCATGTTTTGAGTTAATAAGTTTTTTCTCCTTCAGGTGTGATGATGATCAGATGTCTAATGATAAGGAGCGGTTTGCCAGGTAATGTAGTGCAGCATTTTGGTCCTTGTGGGACCAGGCAGTCCGTTCACACTGAATTTTAATTTTATCTGGATGAGAGTGAGTTCCTGTGTCCTTTATCTTTCCTGTTCCAAAAAGTGGTGCAGTTAGTAATGTTGCTATCGTAGATGTTCAGGTGACGTGGCTTCAGACCAGTCCCATCTCTGTCTTATGCAGTGTTTTTCTCTGCATGTGATAGCTATAGGAGGATGTTTGCTGGCCTTCCATGGGAACACAAACTGTGGATTTCTTGATTGCATTTGTTATAGAACTGGTATAGGTAATGGAAAAATCTGTATGGAGAGTGATTTTATTCTTTACAGAGTGACCATAGAGAAGAAGTTTTTGTGGAGACTAGAGTTTTGATTAAAATAATATACTTACATTTGTGTTTAAATAACCTGTCAAGATGGTAAAATACTTTCTATTTCACTTTTTATTAAACAGTAAATCTCTCTCAACTTGGTTTTCCTTTGAGAAAGTTAATATTATATATTTTTAAGCAGTATGTTACTTCTTTTCTTTTTTTTTTTTTTTTTTTGGTTATTTCTTTAAAAAAATTTTTCCCTAGGGGCCAGGGATTTAGCTCAGTGGTTTCACCGCCTGCTGTGCAAGCGCAAGGACCCGAGTTTGATCCCCGGTACAAAAAAAAGAAAAATATTCCCTAGTACCAAAAAAATATTTTTTTTTTGTTTGTAGCTACCTCAGAAAAACAAATAACCTTATTAATTCAAAGTGCCATACTTAGCTGAACACTTAGTTTATTCATTGCGGATGTTGCCCATGTGGGGACCACTTTGAGAACCACTGATCTAAATAACTAAGAAATATCAGGCAGAGTAGTTTTGAACACTGAAGCAGTGAGAGCTTTGAGTTAGAGGAGATTATATAAAGTAGTTGGTACAGATATTTTTTCGGTAGCAGCATATAGGATTGAGAAAGAGCAGGGCTATAGGCAGAGAAGGTAGTGAGTGATAAGCTACTCAAATGAGACAGCTGTGAAATCATGAGTGCCTGGTAGCAATGGCAATAAGGAAACTGTAAATACAAGAGGTTTTTCTAAAAATAGTTTTCTAAAAATAATCAAAGGTACTTGAAATAGATAATTATAAAGTCTTTATGATGTGAACCATCTCTAAAATGAGAAGTTAATTGTAGATATTGGAATAGTTTTTCAAACTGCATTAAAAGGTCAGGCCATCCATTTGTATGGGCAGTACAGGTCCACAGTCTCTTGACTGAAATTCCAAACAGCCACGAAAACTCAAACTGTTTTAGTCTTCATTCATCCTGCTTAATGTGAATGTTTATACATTCATGCTTTTTATTCAGAAATGTTAGAGTAGAAAGGGATTGTGGCTCTATAACAATGGCAAATTAGGTATGTAATTTTTGAACAACAGAACTCATTCCTTTAAAGTAGTTTACTTCACATATCATTGAGAATCCAATTAGAGAGTCTTCAAAAGCTGAAAATTATGAAGGTGGTGTGGTGCATGCCTGTAATTCCAGCACTCAAGAGGCTGAGGCATGAGGATCACAGGAAGTTCAAGGCCAGCCTGGACTACATAGTGAAACCTTGTCTGGAAAAACAAAGATAAAAAACCAAAACAAAACAATAATCAACAAAAGCTGAAAATTGTGAATTTTAACTTTGAAAAAAAGGTTATTTTTGTTTGTTACGGAACTATCTAGAAGTAATAATCTAAGGAACACAAAACTCTAAACTTAGTATCATGTAGCTGTCTTATCAGAATATATTTTTACTTTGTTCTCATTATTACTATGTTATTTTGTGTATTTTACTGATCGTTTTATTGACACTTTTCTACTTATTGCTAGTCTTTTTTAAAATTTTTATTAAAGACCCACTAAATGGCGGTTTTGTTTTGTTTTGTTTTGTACCAGGGATTGAACTCGGGACCTTGCATTTGGGAGGCAGGGGGTGGCACCACTGAGCTAAATCCCTGGCCCCTTGTCTTTTTTTAAAAAAATGGAGTTTTGCTGTGTTTCCCAGGCTAGCCCAGAAGTCTTGGGCTCAAGACATTCTCCTGTCTCAGCCTCCTGAGTAGGTGGGAGTACTAGGCCAAGTGTGTGCCGATAGGCCTGAACTTATTGTCATTTTTAATAGCTAAAATTATCAGCCTTTTAATTTTTCATACTTAGACATTTTATTTGAGGCTTATCTATTTGTCTATTAAAAATAGAATTGAGGACTGATATACTGGCCTGGCAACAAAGTGATGTTTTTTTCAGTTGTCATTCATTCTACAGTAACTCAGTTTTCTGGAAAAACTTAGTAATAATACTGTGACCTCCTTCAGGGGAGGAGGAGTTGCTACCAGCTGTGTTGTGGTTCTTCTGCAGAAAATGGTAAAATGACTAGATCAAAATTAAGAATAACTTTAGGAACACATCAGTGATAGAGGATATGCAAAAAATCTAGCTGTTAGTTTTAGTTAATAGGTTCTCCAGTGAAATGAAATCTGGTTTTGTGTGTGTGTGTGTGTGTGTGTGTGTGTGTGTGTTTGTGTGTGTTCAGGGAGAGATTGTATTTGTGATCCCTTGTTATCTTTAATTTTTTTCATTATAGAATGGCACTAGTGGATATAATCTTCTTTCCAGATTGGGAACAGCATATGAAAGTGGTATTCCAGAATTCCCTTGGTTGGTTCTTCAGAGTCTATATATCCTTGGTCTTTACAGAGCCTGATTGACAGAATGCTTTCTGTGTTACTCTATAATGTATATTGGCCTTGTCTTTGTGTTGACCTTTGTCTTGTAAGTTACTTTTTCTTTACCATAACAGATGACTTTGTAGATTACAGGCAAGGTTCCTGTCCATATTTCCGCCCCACTCTCTGCATCTGTTTTCTTTCTTTCTTTTCTTCTTTATTTTTTCTCATTTCTTTCCTTTTCCATGTCCATATTTATCCTTCCTCCCTCCCTCCCTTTCTCCCTCCTCCCCACCCTTCCTTTTTATTTTAATTTTTAGCTTAGTTCATTAATTCTGTTTTTAGGTCGGATGATGAGCAGAGCTCTGCGGATAAAGAGAGACTTGCCAGGTAGGAGAACTGTGTCTTTTAGCATGATGAAGCAGATGCTGCTGCTTTTCCTGTCCTTTTTCTTACCCTGTCTTCTCTTCCCCTTTCTCTTTGTATTTTTCCCTATCTGTGGCAAGAGAGGACAAGATTTTTTAGAAGTTTGAGTGTAACAGGAACTTTGGCTTCCCTATCAGAAAGTGGGTGAGTTGAGGGAACTTTACTTAGGAATTTAAGAGATTGTTGTTATTCTCTTTTCCTCCTTATCCAAGCACTCTTTCACAGAATCAAAAGAATTTAGAAATAATAAAACTAATGCCAGGTGGTACTTTAACAGGAAAATATTCTATCAGGAAACCAATAAATGTATCTGTATTTGCAATTAATTGCCAGTATTTAAACCTCAGGCATTTACTCTATACCTCCCTAGAAAACTCACTTGTATTTTCCTGTGTAGACTCGCACCCTCGATTACTGTGTCACAATAAAAGTGGTGTTGCTTTGGTGATTGAACCTTGTGATTTACCAGAAAAGTTTTTAGCTGCCTTGGTGTGGCTATTTGAAAGATTATGTTTCAGTACTTCACTATCTATCAGATACTAGGATGATAGGTGCTTCCAAGTTTGAGAGTAGAATTTTATGTGTCTCAGGGAAAATAACTACAAATGGATGTATGTGATGAGACTTTTCTGCCATTAGGAAAAGAGATTCGAGAATATTTTTTGGAGACTATTGTCCATAACATGGAAATAATATAGAAGATATGTGCCCAGACTTTTTTGTTCAGGTCTCTGTGACCTGTAGGAAATAAATTATTGACAAATGCTTAGTTTTACCATTTTCCCCTTTTATCTGTCACTTACCTCTTTAAGTTGGGCTGCAAACTCACTTTGCTGCCATTTCAACCCTAGCCTCCTAACACTTTCCCTCTTCAGACAACTGATTCATCTTCATGGGGTAAGGAGAGTGTTGCATTGGGAATAAGGGTAATTAAAGTCACTTAACTATGTGGCCTCAGTCTGCTCATCTTATGAAAAAGAACATTAGATTAGTTTGTTTTTTCTTTTACAAAGAACTTTTGTTCAGATAGAATCCTTAAGTGGTAATAGAAGTAAATACATGTGACAAAGCAAAGCTGCTCAGGTAGAAATAGAAATGCACCTGGTGTTAGATTCTTCTTTAAGGCATCCCCGTTCCCATGGAGGACACTGCAGAACCTTCTGAGTTTTTTAGGATTCCTTTTTGAAAAATCCCTGCATTTTTCCTCTTAACAGTGATGTCATTCTGACTCAATTTTGAGAAATGTGGCCTACTTAACCCTGGTGAGATACAAATTATCTTTTTCCAGGCCTTTAAGCATTTCCTTCCCACTTTACTTCTACTCCCCAGTTCACTTTGTCCCAGTCTGGGACTCATACGGTATCACATAGTCTCTTAAGTTCAGTGCACTGGCCTTAGACCCAAATAAAGAAGCTAGGGCTTTGTGTATTAGTGGTACAGATAAAACTTCAAATCGTCCAGTTCTGCCTCTTAATGTCAAAAGAGAAAAACTCAGAACAAAGCAACATTTTTTGGACCAAGGGGATCTGTACTATCATTTCTTACATCAGCTGTTGAGCAACATATTTGAATTGATGCAAATTGGTCATTTTTTTTTCTAGTCTTTAAATAATTTAGTTAGAAAAAACCAGTTTAGTCAGTAAACATGTAATCAACCAAGCTGAGATTATTTGTCCTTGAGAAACTAAATTCAATCAACATTTTAAGCACTATCATTTCTTAGAATATTTTTTTGTTCTGAGGGAACAGTAATTTATTTACATAGGCAGTGACATTTTCAGGAGATAGATGGAGTTGTATCTGCTTGTACTCTATTTACCTTGTTAGCTTCTGTACCATACTTGTTCTGCATGAGAAGTTGGCAAATCTTACTTTAACTGCTGAGACTTAAGCATCATTAACCCTAAATACTACATTTTTCAGCAGCTTACTTGGTGTCCATATCTCTCTCCTACCAAGTGACCAGATGTCACCAACTGGATGGGGCTTCTCTCTCCATGCAGGGAAAATCACAGTGAAATTGAACGGCGGCGAAGGAACAAGATGACAGCTTACATCACAGAACTGTCAGACATGGTGCCCACCTGTAGTGCCCTGGCTCGAAAACCAGACAAGCTGACCATCTTACGCATGGCTGTTTCTCATATGAAGTCCTTACGGGGAACGGGCAACACATCCACTGATGGCTCCTACAAGCCATCTTTCCTCACTGATCAGGTCTCTGGGATTAGAACTGTGAGAGCTTCTAGAGCTGGTTGAATCTGTTGAAAGTTTTGATTTTGGTGGGCAAGAATTCAGCTCTCAGGAAGAATGCAGACCATGGAAAGATGAATTTCAGTCCTTGGCTATCATATTAATAGGTATTGGGGTGGTAAGAAGTAGAGAAGAGTTGTGAAAACTGTTTATTAAGCTGGTAGGGATTTTAGAAATTGTCTCATAAATGCAGCCTATAAGGTGGAAGAAGAAGAGTGGAATCCAGAGAGAGATTGCCATGTCCAGTGAATTAGTTGTCTTCCTTAACTTTAGAATTACTGTACATCTTTTTCTCATCCCTGCAGCAGGTTCCAGTTTTAGTGAAGGAAGGAGTCTAATAGGCAGCCATTGTTGCTCAGGAATATGTTGTGTAACATCTGATGGACTGTAAGAAAAATAGAAAAGACAGAAATACTTCCTGCTTTTCAGCACCTCAGTCTGAGTCTAAATATGCAAGTGGCAGGATGTGCACGAAATAAACAATGATAGGAAGATGCCTGCAGTAAAGAAATGTTCCCCCCTTATTTATTTATTTATTTGGTACCAGGGATCGAACTTGGGACCTTCCACTTTCGAGGCAGGTGGCAGAACCACTGTGCTAAATCCCCAGCCCCTTTTCCCCCCCTTACTAATAATTTGTGTGTGATTAGATAAATATACTGGAGGGATACCTGAAGAGCATTGAATGGCTAGACTTGAGTGAGCGTGGTTAGGGGAAACTTGTTTTTTGTCTTTAATTTTTAGACAGATTCTTTTTTGTTTGTTTTGTTTTGAGACAGGGTCTTGCTGTGTAGTCCAAGTTGGCCTTGAACTCATAGCAATCCTCCTGCCTCAGCCTCCCAAGTGCTGGGATTACAGGTGTTCACCACCATGCCCAGATCTTAAGACAGGTTCTTGGTAAATTGCCCAGGCTGGTCTCAGACTAGAGATTCTGTTGCCTCAGCCTGCTGAGTAGCTGGAATTGCAGATGTGCATTACTGCTCCTGGCAATATATTCTCTTTGATTACAATTTAAAAAGTAATATATGACGACAATAGAAAAATTAGAAAAACATTTAAGTATGAGAAAGAAAAAAATTACCTTGTAATACCTCCATTTTAATGAAAGAATTAGAAAAAAGGAAGAAATACAGGTTGGGAGAAAGAAATAAGAATTCCTCAAATAGGGTGGTCTATTTAAAAGCACATGTAGCACATTTTATAGCTGTATATACCAAACAGTTAATTTGCTTTATCAAACACCTACAGATACTGGTTCGACCAACTTCAGTTCTTTGCCTTTTGTGGGAAAGCCAGGTGCTTTGTGCTGGGAAAAGCATAAAGAATGATGAGATAGTAAATAGACATGTAAATAAACTACATCATGAACACCAAGTTCAATAATAGAGGTATAGTGGTAAGGTTTGTACTCGTGCAGATAGATAAAATGAGGTCTGGGGATGTAGCTCAGCAGCACTGCGCCTGGCTTGCAAGTGCAAGGTCCTGAGTTCAATCCCTGGTACCCCAAAAAACCCCAATAATAATAATAAAAAAATGAGGAGTAGTGTTCTAGATTTTTTAAATAACTTGAGCAAAAATTTAAAGGTATAAAAGTAATTGAATTATTCAAGCAAAGTCAAGTGGTTTAGCATGTGTTGGGAGATGAAATAGGAAAGTAAGCTAAGACCTGGTGGTGGAATAGTTAGGTATTATGTTAAGGAAATTTAAGTTTTAGGCAGCGAGGAGCCATAAAAATGTATGAATTGGAGAGAGAGTAAAAGACCACGTGTAGTGGCACAAGATGACTGGGACAGTGACACAGTGTTGGAAAGCAGAGTTGATAAAACTGAGTCCTCCCTGGGATGTGGGGGAGAGCATTAGACTTGGAGGTTTCCAGTCTGAGAGGCGCAGTTAGTCCAGAACGAGGATGCTGGGGTTGCACAGAGGATGCTGTTTGGATGTGGGTATGGTGACTGTGATTATGAAATGTTGATACTGAGTTCCTGGTATAGTATCAGTTTGGAAATGTTTAACAGATTCTTAGAAATAAGATTTCTGAGGGCTTAAGAAGAAAAAAATTAAGTAGATCTAGGGATGTAGACTTTGATATTATTATTTTTTTTGGTATTGGGGATCAAACTTGGGACCTTGTGCTTTCGAGGCAGGCGGCGGAACCACGGAGCTAAATCCCCGGCCCTCATTTTCTTTATCTGCATGAGTACAAACCTTACCACTATACCTCTACTATTGAACTTTGTCTTCATGATGCATTTATTTACATGTCTATTTACTATCCCATCATTCTTTATGCTTTTCGGAGCACAAAGCACCTGGCTTTCCCACAAAAGCCACAGAACTGAAGTTGGTCGACTTTGATATCATTTCATAGTGGGAAGTAGTGGATATGATTTTCTAGGAAGGAAGGAAGGAGAGAGAATAGATCCTTGAAAATGCCTACATTGAACAAAGGAAAAGAGGCCTAAAGCAGAGGAAGAAAAAAACATTGGAGTGGCATCTCATTGAAGCAGCTAGGGGAAAATAAAATTTAGGGAATAGAATGGACAACATTGTCAGATTCTGCAAGAAACTGAATTAAAAAATGATGAAGACCCAGCACAGAAAAAGGAATTTACATTGGCAATTAAGAGAACATTTATAAACTCCCTAGGAAACATTAATACAATGGTGTTGAGTGAAGATTGCAGTGGGATTGAGAAGTAAGTAAAAGATAAAAGAACAGAGGAATTGAATATAAAGTTATTCTTATTGTCAGCCAGGGATTTAGCAACACGCTTGCCTCGCAAACACAAGGTCCTGAATTTGATCCCCTGTACTCTTTCCCCCCCACCAAAAAAAAATTCTTAGTGTAAGATTGGCACTGAACACTCCAGCCAAACTGAGGGACAAAGTAAGGAAACATTGTGTTGATAGATCTGAAAGGAAAGAGAAAGTGGGACTATTTGGTGAGCAGATCCTGAAAAGAAACCAGAGAAGAGGGATCAAAGGACAATTACTGTTGGTGATAAGCGGTAAAGAGAAAGAGGTAGATGGTAACATAGGGAAACTGAGGAAATACTGGGGAAGGCTTTCTTATCAGTGAAAGTAATTGCTTAGGGTGGAAACCTGTGGCTGTGGATCAAATATAAGCCAACAGTTGCTTATGGAGATACACCCATGGCCTGGAGGGTCTTACTTCTTCAAATAAATAGAAATATTTGTTTTTCCAGAGTTCAGTGTTAACTTTTATTTCTTTTCTTTGGCCAGGAACTGAAACATTTGATTTTGGAGGCAGCAGATGGCTTTCTGTTTATTGTCTCATGTGAGACAGGCCGGGTGGTGTATGTCTCAGATTCAGTGACTCCTGTTTTGAACCAGCCACAATCAGAATGGTTTGGCAGCACACTGTACGATCAGGTGCACCCAGATGATGTGGACAAACTTCGGGAGCAGCTTTCCACTTCGGAAAACGCCTTGACAGGTGAGCTATGTGGATGGAAGATGAATGAGAAATCCTTTCTTCTTTATTTTTCTGAATCATGACAGGTGTTTAAGCTCTTAAATTAGTTTTTTTTGGTTTTTTTTTTTGCTTTTTTTGGGGGGAGAGGGTCTTGCTGTATTATTCAGGCTGACCTTGAACTTACTATATAGCCCAAGGTGGCCTTGAACTCTTGGCAGTCCTCCTGTCTCAGCCTCTCAAGTGCTGGGATCACAGGCATGTACCACCATGCCCCGCCTTTAGATTAGTTTTTTAAATCTGGCAATATTTCTAGATTTTCTCCTTTAATATAATCAGTCCTTTTTATACATATTCATCTTATCTACTCTATGGCTTATCTTTAGAAAAGGTTTCCTTAGTAATTATGCTCATATAAACATTTATTTATTTATTGATACTGGGGATCAAACTCAAGACCTTGTGCTTGCGAGGCAGGTTTGGTGCCACTGAGCTAAATCCCCGGCCCTAAACATTTATTTTTATCTTAATATTATTGTAAGTAAAAGTAAAATCCACCCTCAGTAGTCTTTTTTCCTGCCACACTAAAAGAATCATCTATGCTTCTACCTCATTTGTATAGATAAATTACTGGTATTTTTTCTACCTACTTGTGCTTGGCTTTTTGCTAGGTTCTCAGATAACATTTTTATTTTATCTGGGAGTGGCTATTGGTCAGTATATAAGTTTTGTGCTGCCTGGCTGCTGGCTGGCCTGCCTCCCTCACTTCCTTCTACCTTTCCTCCCTCCCTTCGTTCCCTCTGTAAATGCATTATCTCCACTCCCTACTTCCATTTTAATGTGATCCAGTTCTTTTGTCAAAACTTGACTAGAGGAAACAACTCATGTCTGATCCTGAACAACTATAGGAAAAGTTTCCAAGTGGGAGCAGATAAAAAATGATAGTTAAAATGCAATAAATTCTATATTGGTGTTGGTCATTCAGTTTCCCCTCTTTTATGTTTTATGGATTTTGTTTTTTCTAGTTCTTCCTTTTCCCCAGAAGTTGTCCTTGGTTTCTATAAATAAAGGAGAGAAACAGTTTGGTTTTGAAACTAATGTGTTTCTTTTTTTTCTTTTATAATGTTTGTTTCTGTGGCATACTCCTACTTTTCCTTGCATAAGGTTATTTTCCATGCTGCCATTGAACTTATAGTGAGATTCATAGATGAGATTAAAATACTTCAGGCTTTTAAATAAACCTGTCTGCTGCTTGGCCTGCTCTCAGTAAGGAGGTTGGAGGGTATGAGCGGGGTGCTTACTTATCCTTGCCTCCAGTATCTCTCCCCTTTCCCCACGCGCAAGAACGCGCTCCAGATTGTTCTTCACACCCTTCTTCAGGGCGCATCCTGGATCTAAAAACTGGAACAGTGAAAAAAGAAGGTCAGCAGTCTTCCATGAGGATGTGTATGGGCTCAAGGAGATCATTTATTTGTCGAATGAGGTGAGTGTCAGGCTGAGGATTGATTTGACATAGGAATAATCAAGAGCTAAGGTTTTTATTTCTGTCAGTGGAATTAGCATTTTAAATCCAAGTACCAGCTGGATTAAATGTAATTCTCAAGACAGATTGATTGTAACGCAGAATAAAATGTGTAGTAAGGGAACTAACGTTTACTGAATTCCTCTTATGCCAGACACTGTGACAGGTGCTTTATGCCTCTCATTTTATTTCATCCTCATAGCTGCCCTGTGAAGTAAGAGTCCTATCACCATTTTGGTGATTAAAATCTGAATTCAAAGCAGTTAATTTTCCAAGATTACACTGACAGTGTCTGATACAGGATTTTATTATAATCCATAGTAGTCTGACTCTAAAGCCCATAATTTTTCCTTTTTATCACCAGGCAGCATCTATGTACTCAGGCCATTTTTGTACTATTATTATAGGGTTAGAAATTTGAGATAATCTTTTAGCCTTTTACTTACTATTTAGTGTTTATGAATTATATGCTTTACTGTATACTTTAGGATTCTGTAGAAAGGATGATGGTCTATTTTACACAGGTAGCAAAGTCATCTCTTAGTGTTGGGGGTGTACCTCAGCTGTAGAATGCTTGCCTGGCATGGGAGAGGAGAGATAAGGAAGAAAAGGTCTCTCTCTCTCTCCTCCTTTCTCTCTCTCCCCCCTCCCTCTCCCTCTTAAACCACCACCACCCATCATGTTTTTTGGGGTAGGGACTGAGCCCAAGGCCTCACATGTGCTAGACAAGAACTCTACCACCAAGCTATCTCCTGAAAAGGCATCTCTTAACTACAGTCACAAGATTAGTTCAGATTGTGTTCTGAAATTCAGCTACATTTTACTGAGAGGATACTTAGTACAAATGATAGGTAGGATATTAAGAAAGGTTTCCTGTCTGAGAGTGGTGGCACACACCTGTAATCTCAGACATAGAGGCTGAGGCAGAAGGATCACACCCGGTTCAAGACCAGCCTGGGCTACATAGTGAGTTCAGCACCAGCCTGAGCTACATAGCAAGACCCTGTCTCAAAAAAAAACAAAACAAAAAAAGAGAGAGAGAGAAAGAGAGAGAAAGAGAGAGAGAGAGAGAGAGAGATTTCCTAGAAAAGGTAGAAAATTGCTTTAGTAGTTTAGAGTGGCCCCAGGACTCAGACTGCTCTTTGTTTTAATCCATAGTATCCCATGGATTTGAATTCCAGCTTTGACACTATCTTTTGAAACCTTGCAGAGGAATTCTTTATCCTTTAATTTCATCATCTAATATTGGAGATGATACTAATACTTCATAAAGTTATGACTATTAGGTAAATTAGCATATATGAAGATACTTACAGCATGGGACATATTAGACTCTATACAAGTTTTATTATTTTTATTTTTAAAAAAATGAGAGAGGGAAAGTAAGATTGGAGAGGGTATCCCAACATGTGGCTATGGCTGATGCAAAGAGGTAGGCAGGAGCAAGGTATATAATAATGAAATCTGGCAGATAGATTAGGATTCCTGTTAGTGTAGAGCAGGAGTCAGCAAAGCATATCTCTTTGTAAATAAGTTTTATTGGAACAAATTCATGCCCATTCCTTTACGTGCTGCCTGTGGCTACTTTTACAGTATAATTCCAGAGCTGATTAGTTGCAATGGATTGTATGCTCACAAAGCTGAAATTATTTATCATGTGATCCTTTACAGAAAAGATTTATCAACTGTGCCCCCCCAACAGGTGTGGTGCCCCTGAGCTAAATCCCCAGCCACGATTTATCAACTTTTGATGTTGAAGATCTCTGGATTTGTGGAGCATATGATGCCCGCCCCAAAACACACACCGGAGTCTTAGCACTGAGCTTTATCCCCAGCCCCCTCTTTTTTTTTTTTTTGAGACAGGGTCTCACTTTGTAGTTTAGGCTGGCAATGAACTCTCTATGTAGCCCAGGCTGGCCTCGAACTCGCAGCGATCCTCCTGCCTCGGCCTCCCGAGTGCTGGGATCACAGGTGTGTGCCACCACACTCGGCTCCCAGCCCTTTTTATTGTGAGACAAGTTGTCACAAGGTTGCCCAGAAGGTACTTGTGATCCACCTGCCTTAGCCTCTCAGAATACTGGGGTTATGGACATGTGCTGCTACGCTAGCTGTGAGATATTTTTTTACTTCAAATTCCAGTACTTTTTTTTTTTTTTTGCCGTTACCTATTGCTTATTTATTCAGCATTGTAAATAATACTTATATAGAGACATAGAGATGTGTAAAAATGAAACATTGTGAAAAAAAATACAATTTTTCAATTTCATATGAAACTCAAAGTATAAGTTTTGTCCAATATGGAATGCACCTGTATTTGTTTATATTAGGGCTCTAAAATTCATTTAAAAATCGTTTTTAAAAAAGAAACAACTGACCCACCATGCAAGTTTATTACATATCTTGCTTCCTCCAGTATGGTTTTAAGTTTTACCAAACCTGATTTATCTTTGTCCTTTTTTCTTGTTAGGAACATTGTTGCCACCTTTCTATGTCTTAATTGTATCCAGAGCCCATTATTCTGCTGTTACTGTGAAAAATTCATTGATAATGCACCCTGACTTTTAACCTCCTTGTTCTTTAAAACAGGTGTGGTAATAGCTCTGTGGACCCAGTCTCCATGAATAGACTGAGCTTTGTGAGAAATAGATGCAGGTAAGCCATGAAGACCAAAGGGGCAATAGAGACTATCCCTTTGTCACCTAGCTTACTGCAGCTTTGCCTTCAGCAGCCTTCATCCTCATCCCTTACCTCATGGTTACTTTTTTCCTGGATTATTTTCCTGAGATTTGAAGCTTTTCTTGATTGTCCTGCTTACATATTTTCCTCTTGCCATAGTCAGTACCTATTGGTTGTTTTACTTTGGCAAGGGTTGAAAATATGGTGGTTACTTTTTTGTTGTTGTTATTGTTTTCGGTACTGGGGATTGAACTCCAGGACCTTGCCCTTGCGAAGCAGGTGCGGCACCACTGAGCTAAATCCCAGTCCTTTTTTTTGTTTTTTGAGGCAGGGTCTTACTATGTAGTTCAGGCTGTCTTGAACTCACAATGTAGCCCTGGCTGGCCTTGAGCTTGCAGCTATCCTCCTGCCTCCCAAGTGCTGAGTGAGATTTATAGGCTTGCACCACCATGCCTGGCCTATCTTGTTTTCTAAACATTCAAGATCTGAAAGGTAGCATTGCCATTTAAGATTTATTTTGTAGTGTTTTCCCCTGACTCCTGTAACTCTTCTAGGAATGGACTTGGCTCTGTGAAGGATGGAGAACCTCACTTTGTAGTGGTCCACTGCACAGGCTACATCAAGGCCTGGCCTCCGGCAGGTAGGAAAATTTCTTAGTGATTTCTCCCTTGGTGTGCTTGGTTCTTCCGAGAGTCCAAGAAGGTTACCAACATTTAGTTATTACAACATTTATTATGTACCTGGTATATGAAATGTACTTGATATGAGTTAAGAGAAAGTTGATCTTCTTATATTCCAGTTGGGGAGATGGATTGCTCACATTTGAAAATGACTCAGTATTGGTTATATTAGAGAATATAGTTTTTTAACAGATTTAAAATTTAGGTTTTAAAAATGGTTTTACTGTGTTGCTCCATCTGGCCTTGAACTCTTGGGCAAAGGAGTTCTCCCACCTCAGCTTCCCAAGCAGCTGGCACCACACATGTGCACCACACATGTGCACCACTGTGTCAAGCTTAAGGGAGTATTTTTTTTTTTTTTTTTTGGTACCAGGGATTGAACTCAGGACCTTGCACTTTC